TCAATTCGGCGGTCGTAGGTGGCGCAGGCGCTGGTTCCTCTTTTTCGACATCGGAGTCGTCTGAATCCGCCATAACCTGACTATTTCGTCGTCGATTATCTCTGCGCAGAAGTCGAGCTTATTGTCAGCGTCGATGAACCGCTCAAAAGTTATTTCCGGGGGCATGGAAGCACCGGCAGAGTACAAAAGTTTCAGATTGCGGATAACGCTTTGGCCCATAGGTTGGAGTCGTGTTGGGCAACATGAATTCCAGCTGGATAGCCTTCAAGTTATTGATGTGACCATGAGCAGCACAGTTGTCAAGAAAGAGCAGAACACGTTTGTTCTGTTGTTCAAACTTCCTGTCCAACCTGCGGACATAACTCTCTAACAACTGCTGCGTTACCCATGCCTTTTTGTTAGCTTCGTATAACACTGGCAGCGTTGCCCCTTTAAAACACCTCGGGCTCTTGGACTTCCCGATTACTAACAAAGGAAGTTACTCGCTGCCAGACATGTTGCTGCCGACAAGAACTGTCAGCCGTTCTTTGCTATGCTTGCCACCATGGCATGCGTCACCAGAAAAAGCGAGTGTTCTTTCCTCAGCAGCTTGTAAAACAAGCCAGTTTCGTCGCAGTTGAAAATGTTGTCAGCTGAGAACTGCTGCAACAAAGACTGGAGTTTTCCACTGCGGTACTGCTCAATAACAGCACTGTTGATGGCGCCGCTTTCGCCACACATCTTCTTGAACTTGAGGTCATTCCGATGCTTAAAGTTTCTTAGCCATCCATCACTGAACTTAAAATCCGTGATGTCCACTCGAAGCGCGAGAGTTTCCGCTTTTTGTTTCAAGATGCAGCCCGAGACTGGCAACCGCTTGGAAATCATTGAATTAAGCCACACGACGAGAGCGTCAAGCTTTGCATGAACACTTTGGCTTGCTTTCATCTTTTGGGCACCAGCAGTTCTTCAGCCGCTTCCAAGATGTTGTCTTTGTTGCTCAGGAAATCGGAAACTGTTTGCTTGGAAATGCCGAACTCCTTGCTCACGTCAGCCTGCGATCGGCCACTCTTCACTAACTTAATAATGGCAGCTTTTTTCTCCATCGTTAACCGACGGTACTGTTTTCCGCGCTTCGATGCCATCCGCGAGGACGACGAAGGCGGAGTGGGGGCCATCGCAGGCAAGCGAAATCCTCACGATGTCAACAAAGAAGTTTGCTGACGAGCGTCGAAGCACCTAGGCTTAGCGTTGCAGAGCACACTTCACATGATCGCACAACCACGCACTAGGCTAGCCAAACACCATGTGGGCTGCGCAAACAAAACGGCGCGACGGCAGGCAACGGTGCCTCAGGTACTCCGCAGATGGCGCTGGTAAATATTAAAGATAGCCAGCGTGGCCAGACCAAATCGGTGTGTGACGGTTAGTTCTAGTTCGAAGTGGTGAAACGCTTCGCGAAAGCGCTGCGCGGGAAACCAGAGTGGCACGCACGAGCACAAGCGCTAAAGCGAAAGGAACTTTATTGGCGCCAAAAAATTTCCGGGTGGATAGTTACGATTGTCAGCGAAGCTTCCTTGCACGATAAACACGGCCAGTGTTAGAAATCTCTGAGGCCGTGTGTGTTTCTCCGCTAACGATCAACGAGTCCAAGCAACAGATGCCGCCACAGTGGACCAGCGCGCTCATTTATGCGATCGTAATCGCGTGTGACGCAGTTGTGGTGGTTTCCACTGGAGGTCACTGGTGGTTTCCGACCTTCCGTCGCGTCAAAAAGTCCGGAAAATTGGACTCCGGGGGAGTTCGAGCGTCCGAAATTTCAGACTTCCTGATACATTGATTCCTATGGGGCTCGTGGCGGTGCCGCGAAGATGTCCGAATTATCAGGCATGTCCAAAAATTCGGGTGTCCGAAAAACCGGCAGTTGACTGTAACGTATTAAATAAGCGCAGTTATACGATGCAATTTTACCTTGACCCTGCATCGTATGACGACTCTCCGATGCCTTCCGAGCGAGAAATTGCCTTTAATACCCGAATTTAATGCCCACCAAATATTCACCGGTGTGAAAGAAATACAGCTGAATCCTGATTATACGACTTCCGGGGACCCCGCAAAACCGTCTTATAATCCGGGCATCGTTTAATCGAAAGACTAAGATAAAGGCAATGACACTCAGCTTTACCAAAAAAACTGTTACAGCCCACTGTACGACTTTGATCCTCTGCAAGGAAGGTAGATTAAATTAGTCTTGCCAGTGGCCGCTAGTGGCAGCATTACTTAGTTAAAGAAGGTGTGAGCGCATCTTTATTCTCAACTTTCTACTGATAGAGTCCGAAAATTGCCTGCACGTGAAAACGAAACTGAAAACGCATTGCCAAAAGCCCCCCTCTGAGAAATCGGACGCAGTGTCAATATTGTCACATACATTAACATCATCTTTAAGCTATAGTATTTAACAGTGCATGAAAGACTAAGACAAGAAAAAAAAAATTCAGGCAAGCGTTGTCTTACAACTGAAGTTTATTTCAAACTGTAGTCAGTGCTTGTCTGTGTTTCTTTATTCTCCTTGTCCTTTCTTGCCCTGTTACATTTTATTCGCTACTCCAACTAAATGCTCACCACCTAGCGGCTGCACCAGGAAACGGCGCTAACAGGGGAAACTTTGAAATGAGATATGTTATCATGTTGTGCACATTGAGAAGCGGCCGCATAGTTCCTTTATTTTCGCCATGCTGCACACGCGAGCTCGAAAAAGAGGAAGGCGCTGTTCAAAAGTACATCGAAGTGTGCCACAGTGTGTGACATGGCGGTGGAAAGATGGCAACGTATCTTTCTATCACTTTCCCAAGGATGAAGACGACGCGCAACGTAAAATGGCACAAATCAGAAATTTGCACATTGGAAAAAAGGTGATGCACAATACAGTACTGGTTTGTTCTGATCAATTCGTTCAGGACGACTTAATTCTTCTCGGTGAGTACACCCTCATTTAGCTTGTGTGCGTTCTTATCAATACTCGGCCTTCTCTGAGCACGGAGTATAGTTTCGTTTGTATAAGCAAGCGCTTTAGGAAATTTCTTGCATTACGTGTGGGACTTTATTTTTGGCATATGCTTGTTTTCTCTGGAAGTCGTAGTGCTACCCCCATTTTCAAATTAAGCTGCCGGAATCCCCCCCCTCCAGTATTTTTTATTTTGAGTGTGTGCATATACACGCACACAAACGTGCACACAAGAGTCGCTCGTGCATATCGTGTATGTATGTTTGTGTATGTATATATATATCATGTCCGTGAATTCGGAGTGTGCGTGCATATATCTGCTTCGAATATCAATGACTGCCAACATAAACAAGTGAAAGTGAGTGTTTGGAAGCACACGACCGTATTCATTAGAAACTAATGACATGGATCGCAAACAAAAAGAAGCATTCCTATTATGTACAATTGAAACTACGATTTGCCTTATCTCAAGATACGCTGGCCCTGGCATATAGGTCTGTTCTAAAATCAAGTGAACGGCATGCGTATTCAGCTTTTTAAAGGAAAGCGGAACTCGATGGGATGCATGCAATTGGCAGCGCGAGCCTGCAGCGTAGTTACCTCGAAAACTGTTAAGGCTCATCAATATGGCGGCACTCGGCTCACTGCAACGCTCATGGCGCGCGTGCCAAGTACGAACAAATTTTGTTTTTTGGGAAGAATTTACTTCTGCTGGAGTGCTTTGAAGGCCCATTTTATTGCATTTCCCGACCGAATTTGGCGTTAGTAATTTGAGAATAGTTGCTCAGAGGTACAAACGGCCTGAAAATAAGTTTTGTGAAAAATCCATTTTTTGGCCATGTTTGATCGTTCCAAGACTCGCGTCCCCCCTAAAGTTATTCTAGCTGGATCATTCAATTGAGGTTTGCACTTTTTTTTTTACAGCTTTGTCTCCTGCAACGACACCGTCCGCACCACCGTCACACCCGCCTCCGCCGCCCCCGCCATCCAATCTGCCACCTCTCTTACCGCCTCCGCCGCTGCCCCCACGAAAGAAGCGAGACTCTTCCACCTCTTCGTGTGACCCCTCATCACCGACAGGGACAGCCTTCTTCGCCGACGTTCCCGACCAGCCCCCACCGCTGCTGCCTCCGCGTGAAGGCCCACCGCTGAGGGACGCATCTCCGCCACCTCCACCGCTTCCGCCGAGACGAGATGGCGGCTGGACCCTGCCCAGGACGCCACCACGCACCGTGCCACCTCCGCTGGACCAACACCAGTCACAGCGGGCTCTGTCGCGTCGAAACTCTGCCCACAATGGAGATCTGGCGGCGCTATTGGCGCAGGGGCCGCTATTGCCTCGCAGGGATATCCCGGCCGTCTTGTCCCCTCCTCCTCAGCTCAGGCCACCGCCCTCGAGCACTCCTCAGCTGCCCCCCAAGACACACAGGCAGCCGCAATTGGTGGTCAACCACAATAGCAGGTAGCCCCCGCCATCACCCGGGGGGGGACGATAGACGAGCTCTGCTGATCCGTACTTTTTTTGTTCCTGAAAGTGAAGAAGACAATTGGCACGCGAGTCACCCTGACACCGGTTAATTTGAATTAGAACAGGCCGAGCGACTAGAGAGCCGAGCGGCATCGAAAATGATTGCGGCAACGTCGAAAAGCCGGGATCGGAAAGGCCCCACTGTGATGACTACTGCATCTCCAGGTCCCTTCACTCGGGTCACCTGCGACCGAGCATCTATAACGTCGGGGGCCCCGGAAGCAGGCCCACGTGAACGACTTCTGCCGAGACTACGCTCTTACGTGAGAGAGAGACTGTCCTCGTTGAGTTGGCCCACTCTGTCTGGACTACAGCATCGTTTAACGAAGCGGTACCCGAAGCCTTTGACCGAGGATCCGAGCAGCGCCTTGCCATCGCAGGAAAAAAAAAAAAGTGTACATAGACCAGTGCCTGTGGACGGCAGGACCGGCAGGCGGGCATTCATTTGTGATTTTTCTTTTCCCTTGTTGTTGTTGTTATTACCCGAGCGTTGGGTGGGACACTGTATTTTTTCTTTATTGCGCTTGCCACACTTAAACAAGGTAATTTATTTGCCCAATAAAGATGCAGTGGCGGCTCGTGGGTTGTCTCAGTGACTCTGGAAGAAGGCTTGCACTTTCTGCAGTAGATCTGCACTGGCTGCATGTTGGCTGCATTTGCTTGCGGCGCGAGCACATCCTTGGAGGTCTCCAGTCTGCAGAAACCAGAGCCTTGAGGTCAGTACGGTACAAAAAGCCAGCTGCACTTTAGCTTTGTGCACCAGCAATACGATTGCCGTGGCAGTGGTACGACCACCAAGGTGCGGCAAAATTTTCGCGCTTAGCAAAGACCCTGCATATGGCATTGTCTGAAGGGCTTGCCGATTGCTATGAAAATTGAAGTCTGTGAAGAACAAAGCACCTCTACAGTGGCTGGCGATTTAAAGTGTTGTGCTCTGTAACCAAGATAGAATGTTTACTATTTTAGTGATCAACAAGATGTATTTCGTGGCAATGCATCTCGTTCTTGCACTATATTTGGCGTGATACTTGAACCTATGATGCAATGAATTTTGAGTATAGCATCATTTGTCGAGAGGAAAACCAATATTTAGCTGGCTTTGAGTATTGTAAAATTTCAGGCCGTGTGCAGCGCATTAATTTTTGACTCGCGTGTGCTCGAGAGCTTCTGCTACTGATCGGCAGTGTTTGTAGACCATGCTCTATAAGTGTTGCAGGGCCCTTTAAAATATGCAACACGATTGCTTCCGGGCCGTTTAAAAGCATAATGTAGGTAAAGGCTGTGCTTCAAAGCTAAGGACGAAAAAAAACTGGACTTGGACAAAGAGGCTGTGTTTAGTGGCACAGCCTTTACATACAGTATGTTCCAACTAGCCCCTACGCATAGCTTTTACTTGTGTAGAGCACGCGAGCAGTTGATTTCGGTGTAACAGTCATCTAACTATACTCCGTTTCATACATCGGGTGCAACGCTGTGAAGGCTAGGCAAGTAGTCCGTAAAGAAAACACGAGATGTTGCTCCGCGCGGTTTCGTAGCCGAGTGGTCTGACGCGTCGCTCCGGAGAGTTGACCGAAGTTCTAAGTATAACCTCCTTGAGTTCACCGTAGTTTTGAAGTGCATGGGTTCGAATCGACGTGGTGCCATTTTTTTATAATTTTTGCGAGTTCAATTTGAAATGATTGATGTGCGAAGCTTCGAAAAAATTCGCGCAGGAGAGGTGGTCGAGGACGCAGAGCTGGACGCCATTTTTTCAAGCTGCCACAACAAGTAAAAAAAAAAAACGGCGGCGCGGGTCGCGCGGAGAGCGAAAACCTGATACGAAAGCGACAAACATAAATTACCAACTCGCATATTTGGATTGTTTATCCGACAACACAGGCATTTGTTTTTTAACCTGATGACAAATATGTATGCTTAGAAGTTTCCCGAGAAGCATTTATTGATTCTCGTACACCCCAAGCGACGCACTACTTTTTGGTCGCGGCAGTACACAGCGCAAACAAGAGCGCTAGCTTTGACAGCGTTGCACATGATGTATGAAACGGAGTATAGATTTGTCTTAAATGTGTTCCCTCTTCAAGCATGTAAGTGGAGCGTGAGTGGGACCTTGGAAGTGTGCACAATAAACATGTTGGGCTAGTTGGTTCGTACTGTGCAAAAGGTTATAACTCGGCAAAAGGCGTAGAAAACGTGGCACAGGAAAGTTCTAACCAGTACCTCTGGTTTCACGTCGTGCGTTACGTCATTTCCTTTTTCGCGTTCGTGTAAAGTTGTGTGAAAGTCCTCCAGCGATCAAGAGGTGACAGTAGCAGCCGCTGATGCGGCCAACAAGGTATACCTTGTTGGCCTATTGCAAGGCATGCAATAATACCTACCAGCTTGCGGGCAGCATATTTGAAATTTCTTACCCGTTCAAGCACCAGCGCGTGATTATAATGAGCCTCGCACAGTTCCGGAGCGATTTCGCCAGCCGTAGCGAAATAAGCGGCAGCCTGCAAGCAACCATGGCATTGTTAGGGTGATTGTGAGGCGCGCCGCTTGAGCACGTTGTAACTTCAGCGCGGGCGTTCTGTGGCTGTAAAATGCTTGAACGCAACAGTGCCGCGCCTTGTTACCTGGTCGACGTTGCCGCTGGTGAGCTCGAGGACCCCGAGGTTGTTGTACGATTCCGCGTGGCAGTTGTCGTAGACCAGTGCCAGCCGGAAGGCGCGAGTCGCCAGCGTCTTGTCTCCGGAGCTCTGCGCGAGGTGGGTGACAAAATGTTAACGTAGCCGCTTGCAAGCGTTATGCGGTAGAACGACGGATAAAGATGACGAGTGGTGTATTCTCGAAGTCACTCAAGAAAAAAACGTCCGGAAGCTCGAGCTTCTGAGAAAGAACTTGTATCGAACGGGCCCCTCTAGCATGGTCATATGTATGACACTGTATACGGCCTAATAGTGATCCTCACGCGACCTTTGCAAGCCACTCATTTCAGCATGTGCGCAGAGTCAACCAAGCTCTGTTATAACAGAGCGCTATACCCTCCTCGCCAGTTATTTCTTCATAAAACGCGTGAAATGTCGGCGCTAAGTGTTATGCCGGTCAAGATATAGTGCTCCTTGGCTACACTCTGCTTGCGCAGTGGCAAATTTGGAGAACGAAGTGGAATCAGTTTATCGTGCACGACAGTCATGCGAGACAAGAGAGAACGGACAGGTGACTGGTGGTGGTTAGAAGAAGAAGGCGCCTAATCTCTGCAGCCCGGTAGGGAGCACGGCGCAGCGCTTGATGTGACATGGCCACGCAGGGTAGGTGACAATTCACAACGGACATCCCTCTCGTATCGACCAATCGAGACCTCATTTCATCACATTTTAAGTGCTAACTGGTGACGTCACGAATCGTGCCGTAAAGACTGGAATTATGAAGCGTTGAAACTTGGGCAAGCTGGTCGGACATATACGAACAGCGCAACCTATAAGTAGTTACAGCGTGCGCAAACAATAAACAAGGATAGAAATAGCGCTGTCTTCCAACAATGATTTCACAGCTGAGTGGTGTACATACAGCGTAACTATGGAAGCAATAAACAAGAATAGAAAAGAGCGCTGACTTTCGCCATTGTTGAAAGTAAGCGGTCTTTTTCTATCCTTGTTTATTGCTTCCGTAGTTACGCTGTAACTATACTTCCAGGTTGCGCTGTTCGTATATTCAGTAAAGACTGGAAACGTCAGAAGAGAATAACGCACTTCTTTCAGATATTTGCATATCATAGGGACTACGCATCGTGATATATCAAATCAGCGATGCCTAATGAACAAAGAGCATACCAGTGCGACGAGTCCCAGGTTGTACCAGACGTCGGCGAGATGCTGATCTTCGGCCAGAGCCAGCGCCCGGTCGAAGCAGGTGAGCGCCATATCGTACTGCTGCGCGTAGAAGCAGCACAGCGCCAGGTTGTTGTACAGCTCGGCCGTCGGCATGCCCAGCTGTAGAAGGCGCCTGCGCGTGTTTCCGGGTGCTTTATAATGGGGTATACATATTGCGTTTGTTGCCACTGCGCATGCGTCGTATAAGCTGTCTCGTTAGGGGTAGCGCACAACGAATTAACCTGTGAGTAACCTCTGGGTAACCTATCTATAACGAATTTCTCTTGTAACGAAAATCGGTATAACGAATATTTCGATGTACTGGGCTTGTAACGAATTTTGTGACGAAGCTTTACTAATTCAAGTAACGAGAGCGAGCGGAGCTGCTTGGTAGGGATCCATGGTGCAACATGGGGGCGTGCAAACAAGAACATAAGACAGGCACATCTGCCGTGCCGCAGGAGCATGACCCGCCAACTTCGCCGCGCGGCAGCAAGCTGAACTTTAACCATTGCGAGTCAAGTTGAAGTGCTCGCCTCATTTGTTTGTTTTTAAGTGTGAATACACTTTATAAGCGACCCCAAACCATCCACCGCCGTCGGCGGCGTCCGCAGTCTTCTCTCTATCTTTAAAAGAAAGAGGACTTGGCGGGCCGCAGCGCGACGCTCTACCGAATAAGCCACGGACGCGACGCTGATATCGGTGTCAGTAACGCGCCTTATACCCCCTCCCCCTTCGCTCGCTCCTCCGCTCTCCTCGCTCGCTGCAGCTGCGCGCGCACCCCTCTCTCTCGCGCGTCCACCTTCTCTCTCAGTCTCCCGTCGAGAGCGGGTCGTGCGATGAATGTCCCGGAGGCAACGCTACCATCAACAACGAATGCAGTACAACCGAATGCCAGCACTGCACCCGTCGTTGGAGGTGACGGTACCGCTGTGGTTTCGCCGACGTTGGAAGACAAGGCGGCGCTGCGAAGGGCTCGTGAGACCGAACGTAAGCGGGCGAAGCGTGCAGCGGATGCCGAACTTCGCGCTCGCGAGGCCGAGGACAAGCGGGCGAAGCGAGCAGCGGATGGTGAACTGCGCGCTCGCGAGGCCGAGATGAGGCGTCAGCATCGAGCCGCGAACGCGGCCCAAGAAGCGGAACGACAACGCAAGCGTCAGGCGGAGAAGGGCGATGAAGGCCGGCGTCAAGACGCCGCTCGCAATCGTCAACGGCGAGTGGACGTTCCCGAAGCCGTTCGAGCCAGTGAACGTGCCGCGCGGGAGAGGGTGCGAGCCCTGGACTTTGCTCGTCCGAGCTCGCATGCTATGAGGGGGAGTAAAGTTAAAATCCGTTGGCATTCGCCAGTGAGTTAACGTAAACTCTCCCGTGTGATCAAATTGCGATTCCCAGGAACCATTACACCATAAAGGCACCATAGTGTGATTAATAAATATAATAGTGCGAATTAATAAATACCCCTCATAGCATCACCCCGTGCATTCGCACTTAACCATGTCACGAATCGTGCCGTAAGGACTGGAATTGTGAAGCTTGGAAACTTGGGCAAGTTGGTCGGACATATACGAACAGCGCAACCTAGAAGTAGCTTACAGCGTGACTGCGCAAACAATAAACAAGGATAGAAATAGCGCTGTCTTCCAACAGTGATTTAATAGCGGAGTTGTGTACATACAGCGTAACTACGGAGGCAATAAACAAGGATAGAATAGAGCGCTGACTTTCAATAATCCGCTTTTAAATCGTTGTTGAAAGTAAACGGTCTTTTCTATCCTTGTTTATTACTTCCATAGTTACGCTGTAACTATACTTCTAGGTTGCGCTGTTCGTATATTCAGTAAAGACTGGAAACGTACGTCAGAAGAGAATAACGCACTTCTTTCATATATATGCATTTCAGAGGGACTACGCATCGTGATATATCAAATCAGCGATGCCTAATGAACACTTCTTTCAGATATTTGCATTTCAGAGGAACTACGCATCGTGATATATCAAATCAGTGATCAAATCAGTGATGCCTAATGAACAAAACCAGTGCGTACTGCACTGCAAAACCAGCATACCAGTGCGACGAGTCCCAGGTTGTACCAGACGTCGGCGAGATGCTGATCTTCAGCCAGGGCCAGCGCCCGGTCGAAGCAGGCGAGCGCCATATCGTACTGCTGCGCGTAGAAGCAGCACAGCGCCAGGTTGTTGTACAGCTCGGCCGTCGGCATGCCCAGCTGTAGAAGGCGCCTGCGCGTGTTTCCGGGTGCTTTATGATGGGGTACACGTTGCGTTTGTTGCCACTGCGCATGCGTCGTAAACGCTGTCTCGTTAGGGGTAGCGCACAACGAATTAACCTGTGAGTAACCTCTTGGCAACCTATTTATAACGAATTTCGGTTATAACGAAATTCGGTATAACGATTATTTAGATGTCAAGCGAGCAGTGGTAAGTTCAAACTGGGCTTGTGAAGAATTTCGTGACGAGGTTTTACTAATTCAAGTAACGAAAGCGAGCGGGGCTGCTTGGTAGGAATCCATGGTACAATATGGGGCGTGCAAAGAAAATCATAAGACAGGCACACCCGCCGTGCCGTGCGAGCATGACCCGCCGACTTTGCCGCACGGCAGCAAGCTGAACTTTAACCATTGCGAGTAAAGTTGAAGTGCTCGCCTCATTTTTTTTTTTTCGGCTTTCATGGAACGTGGCTCAGTGTTCGGTTCCCAGGCATGGCTTGCCGGGGAATCGATACAGCTTTACACGCGGAGAACGTGCCTTGGTGTTGTGTGCATTGTTTTGGCAGCCCACGTTACAACACTTCGAACCTCGCCGGCGCTTCCGTGGGGTCGCTTCTTCCATCGCGGAAGGGCAACTGCGCACAGCAAGCGTCTCGTTTTGGCGCGCTAAGCTGACGGCGCGGCGCCGACGTACCCTACGCCGACTGCAGAACGCGGTCTGCGCGTGTCGCACGCCGGCGAAACACTTTAAACACACTGAGTCACCCGCGCCTTCTTGCCGCGCCTATCCTCAAATTTCCCGGAGCTTGCCGCCAGAGCCAGGCTAGGCGTTGTCGTCGCTCCGCAAAGTTGACCTTTGCTTCCCTAATCGACTGTCGTGGAACGTGTGGGGCCTCGAAATGAGAACTCCGCACTCGGAACACACGGACGGCGCAGTCGGGCCGAACCAAGCAACGCATTTATTCAATTACATTTCGAACGACGATATCGTCACCCCAAATCAAGTACATCAGTTGTTATCAACACGCCAAAACAACCTTACGCAACGTTCCACAACACTCAGCAACATAATAAACGCAAGGCGGCGTCGCCAACGCTCGACTCGTCACGAGGGCCCGCGACACCGTCCTCACGGACCCACAGCGAGAGGCGACCGATCGCACCAACCGCCGCACGTTAAAAGGACCGCTCATGTGTCATCTCGCATGTGCCGCTACCCATGCTTTCCGCCAGGCGTCACTGCCGACGCTACCGCGCTAACCATGATGATGATGATGATCATGGCAATAGCTTCTCGCGAGCGCAACGCTACCTACCCCTCGATGGTTGTGAACCCGAAATGAGGCCTATGCGCGAAACACGTGCGCCACGAGTCGCAAACGACTACACAAGGAGTGTTAGCACACCCACCGCAAACTGCAAGTTTGATTGGGAGTGCGAACCCAGGAGCTTGATAAATATTTCTTCCGTTACTTTTGTTTTTCGTTTTCTATTAGGGACGGGCTTCTTAGAATGTGGGTCTGTTCATCCTCCGATGGTGTATGTAGCCACCGATGGCACATACCAGAAAGAGCGGTCCTTAGAATGTCCGCTGGATGGCGGCACTTGTATGTGATGAATACATGATGAAAAGATGTGAGATGGCTGTACTTGGAGTAGGGTGGCTAGAATGGCCACCCTACTTGGAGTGTTCACTAGATAGACGGACGGAGCTACGCACAGACAAACAGAGGGTGGACGCACGGATGGACGGACATATGGAAGAACGGACGCACGGAGGGACAGATGCACCGACGCTCTTACGAATGAATGGACGCATGGACGGACGGGAGCAAGAACGAATGGGCGGACGAAAGCACAGACATACTGACGAACGCTTCGCCCCACCAATCATCAATCACTCCGTGGATATGCTGTGATTTTTTTTCTTTCAGGTGCAGTTGGGATTTGGCCGCTAGGGGGCCACGGTGTGCGGACGCGCGTCGCATCGGCTCCGCAGATTTTCTATGGTTTTCGGCGATTTCTTTCCAGCCATTCAGTTCAGAGTATTCCCAAGTAACTGCGAAAGTCCTGCGGTCTCTCCCGATACCATTTGTGCAGGTGAGCCCGTGTTTCGGTCACTTTTCGAAGATTGCCCGTACCGCCACGCTGGCACGACAGTCAAGCCAGTAGACAAGGCACGGCAGTCCTGACAAGTCGTCGGAGCAAGCGGGTGCCCCATCCGCTGCACCGGCGCCCGAAATAGAATTCGTGCAAATCGAAGGGGAGGAGATATCGCCGACAGAGTTCGGAAAAGAGCAGGGATGGTGCGAGATCAAACGAAACACCAAGAAGGCGGGTGGAGACGCCGAGCCGGCGAAGAACCAGCAAGCAACGCCAGCGTCTACCGAGAAGGCGGCGTTTATACAGAAAGCGACGCAGTACGTGCGGAAAATCACCATGACGAGCCGAATGCCCAACCTGCCAACGGATGACTACAAGATCATCGTGCGACCCCGGGATGGCTTCAACGTATCCCACTACCAGAAGGACCGCGTCCACTGCTGCATACGCAACGCTGCAGGGGTGGGGCGCGAGGTAGCCGAGGAGGACAGCGTCTGTCTCAATGAGCGACAAAACGTTATTGTGGTAAGCACGCCGTCAGAAGATCGTGCTAGACGATATGGAGGCATTTGCAAGCTGCGAATTGGCGACCGTGAGTTCGAAGTGAGTGCCTACAGAGCGGCTCCGGAGAACACGTCCAAAGGCCTCATCAGGGGCATATCGCTAGACGAAAAGCCGGCGGACGTCGTGAGAAGTCTGGTTAACCACCGCAACCCGAACGTCCTGCATGCCAAGCGCATGGGAAACATGACCAACGTGATAATCCTTTTCGACGGCTACTACGTGCCTCGTTACGTGAACTACGGCGGGATGGTGATAAGGTGCACTCTTTACAAGAAACATATTGATATGTGCTACGAGTGTGGTCGTCTGGGACACAGGGCCGACGTGTGCCGCAACCCGAACGACAAGAAGTGCCGTGGGTGCGGATGCGGTAACCCGCCCGACGATCATCGGTGCGAGCCGGTGTGCCAACTGTGCGGAAAGGGTCACCTCACCGGAGACCGCAAGTGCAAAGCTAAGTACAAGACACCCTACCTAGTCAAGCGCCGACAGTGGGAACGCAGAATGCGCGAGGAGGCTGAGGCCGCCTACAGCAGTAGCAGCACCGTCAACGACGGGGAGGAGGGCTACGGACGACGCCACGCACCGAGACGACGTCGCGGCAACAGTCGATCGGCCTCGAGGGAGACCCGCGCGCGGAGCCGCACTCGCTCCCGTACTCGTTCTCGAGCCCGCTCTCGCAGCGTCTCCCGACCCCGTTCAGCGAAGCCTCGCAGCACGTCGACGGCCCGAGCCAACCACACAGCGGCAGCCAAAGGCGGAGGAGAGGTTGACCCCCATAAATTGAGGTGGGTGGACGTCGCATCCGGACGCGCGCCCAGAGCACCGCTAACGCGAACCGAGACTGCCATTGATAGAAACCCAGATGTAGACAGACGCGGCAGCTCTGCTTACAAACGCAACAGCGACCCAGAAAGTCTAGTGCAGAAACGATTGGATCAATTCGAATCAATAATCCAAGAACTAAAGCAGGAAAACGCAAGGTTAAGAAACGAAATTGCCACGTTGAAGGAGGAGGCCCCGACAGTTCCCTTTCCTCCTCCTCCTCCAATTAAACCCGTCGCAGCCGACGCGGCTGCTAGTACAGCCGAGAGAGTGGAGGAAGTCATGGAGGCTCAAGACGCGCACCCCGCACCCACCAAACGTAAGGCACTTGACCCGGAACAATTCGACGTCAAATCGCAGAAACGCGAGGAGAAACTCCGCGAACGAGTCGATAGACTCGACGACAAGGTAGACGCGATGATGACCCAACACGCGCAGCAAACCGCGCAACTTAACAACGCAATCGCTCAGCAAACCGCACAAACCGAACAGTTGAGCATTGCAATATTTCAGCTCACAAAAATGGTCGCGACGCTGCAAACGCGCATAGACAATATCGAAATGCGACTTCCGGGCGCAGTGGGTCGCCCAGTACGAACGACTGGGAAACCGTACTTTAGGCCGTTACCCGACGAAGAGGCGCAGGATCAGCCGGACGGCAAACCATAACACGTACAGTCACCATGGCTCGACACGAAACCACACAAACACAACGCCCACAACAGCATAACACACGGAACACGTTCACTATCTGGCAGTGGAACTGCAGGGGGTACAGGAGGAAACGGGCGCTTCTCCAACAATTATTACGTAGCCGGCAACGACCGGACGTAATACTATTGCAGGAAACCAATGACCCGGTCAAGCTGGCGGGGTACAAATCTATAGACGAAGCTGTGACCGCGGGAGCACCACCGGCCGCTGCAACGCTAGTGCGACGCAACCTCACCGTGGCGCAACGCGAACTTATGAACGTTAGCATACCGCATGTATTCATAGAGCTCATCCCGACGAAAGGGCGCGGCCCTGGCCTGTTTGTGCTGAACGTGTATAGCAGACCCAAAGCCAGACACCGCTTTAGCACATTACTGCGAGAGGCGCGCGAGGCAGCTGCCGACGGGCCCTTGCTCATCGCGGGCGACTTCAACGCGCCCCACGCGGCGTGGGGGTACGGCTACGAAACGCCAAAAGGTAAGCGCCTTTGGGACGATGCGCAGAATGAGGGCCTCGAGCTCATCACAGACCCTTCCGCGCCTACGCGCAGGGGCAACAGCGTATGTGCAGACACCTCACCCGACCTCACATTTACCAAGGACGTTGCTAGCGCGTGATGGCACAATACACAGGAGGACCTGGGTAGCGATCACTCAGTGATCGAGATCCAGGTCGACGCTGAACCTCACCACCGCGTTCATCGGGAAGGTACCAAGGGCAAGAACCACCGGCTGGTGGATTGGGACGCGTTTCGCAAAGTTCGGAAAGAGCAGAATCGTGGCAATGCGGCTATTGAGGATATAGATAGCGGGACTGCGACGCTCAAGGGGGATTTAGAAACGGCGACGCGGGAGTTTCCGCCAGAGGCACAGCTCAAAGTGGTAGACAGCAAACTCCTACACATGTGGGAAGCCAAGCGCAGCCTGCAAGACAGGTGGAAGCGTCAACGCCACAATCGAACGCTGCGCATAGCACGGCTAAGCAGGGACATGGAAAAGCACGCGTTACAGGTATGCAGAACGCAATGGGAAGAGATCTGCAATGGGATGGAGAACCAGCTGGGACGGGCCAAGACGTGGCATCTCCTCCGGCACCTCTTGGATCCAGAGGAGACGAAAACATCGCACGCACATAAGCTTAACAAGTTGCTGCACGACTACAAAGGCACCCACGCGGACTTTCTAGATGACGTGCGAAGCTGTTACTTTCAGTCACGTAGCCCCCTCGCGCACTCGGCATACGCCTGGGAGGGTGAGGGTAACGCGGAGCTAGACGAGAACTTCAGCGTTGCAGAGGTAAGGGCGGTGCTGCACAGGCTCAACACAAAGTCGGCGCCAGGCCCGGACGGGATAACCAACAAAGCGCTACGTAACTTGGACGATGAGTCAATAGAACAACTGACGGCTTACATGAACGAGTGCTGGAATGCGGGCGCTATACCGAACTCGTAGAAAACGGCGCGCATAATTATGATCCCCAAACCGGGCAAACGAGTACAGATTGACAACCTTCGACCGATATCCCTGACGTCCTGCATTGGTAAGGTCATGGAACATGTGGTTCTCGCTCGCCTTACCAACTACCTCGAGGACCGAAACATGCTCCCACACACGATGCTGGGGTTCCGTCGTAACCTTTCCACGCAGGACGTTATGCTTCAACTCAAGCACGATATCGTAGACAATCCCACACGATCCACCAAAGCGATACTCGGGCTCGACCTCAAAAAGGCGTTCGACAACGTTAGCCATGCTGCGATACTTGAAAGTATACGAGCGTTGGGACTGGGCGAGAGAACGTACCACTACGTACGGGATTTTCTTACGGGTCGCCGGGCCCGATTAGCGATCGGCGGACTACAATCGCAGGACATATACATGGGTTGTACGGGCACGCCGCAGGGCTCCGTAATCTCGCCCATGCTCTTTAACATCGTGCTTGTCGGATTACCACGAAAACTCGCTGAGATAGAAGGCCTCCACCATAGCTTGTACGCCGATGATATCACCCTCTGGGTTGCCGAGGGAAATGACGGCCACGTAGAGCAAACGCTGCAGGAAGCCGTCGACGTGGTGCAGGACTACCTTCGCGACACTGGCCTCGAATGTTCCGCCGTTAAATCGGAGCTCCTGCTCTATAAACCATCGCGCAGGGGCTGTAAACCCAAGAACGCCGATTCCGCATTCGAGTGCGCATATAGAGAAATTAATGTACGCACATCAGACGGCGCTGCCATCCCACAAGTTAACACCATTAGGGTACTGGGCTTGCACCTGTCCGCCAACGGCCACAATGGCGAAACCGTTCGCAGACTAGAGGGCGCGGTCAATGAAACAATCCGGTTGCTGAAACGAATAACAAATTGGCATAGCGGAATGAAGGAAAGCAATACCATTCGCCTGGTACATGCTTTCGCTATGAACCATATAACGTACGTCGCCTCCTACCTCAAGTGGCAGGCGACTGAACGCACCAAACTAGATTGTCTCATCCGCAAGGCGTACAAACGCGCAATCGGATTACCGGCCAATACCAGCACGGAAAAATTTCTCGAGCTGGGGTTGCACAATACTCTAGATGAGATAATCGAAGCACACAACATCGCCCAGTACGAACGTCTGGCGAAGACCAGAACTGGTCGACACATCCTCGAGACACTGGGTATCAACTACCATACGCAGCGCGGCGAAAAGGCCGGGATACCCAGACGCATTCGCGAGCGCATCGTCGTTATGCCGTTGCCTAAGAACATGCACCCGACACATCACATCGGTCGGCGCAACAGGCGCGCCCAAGGCCTTGAAAAGAAATTCGGCAATAGCAAAGACACAGTTTACGTGGACGCGGCCCGTTACGACTGCCACCGTGGCTTCGCGGTCGCGATCACGGATCATGTAGGGACTTGCGTCACGAGTGCGACGATAGGCACGGAAGAGACGGAGGCGGCCTAAGAAGCTGCCATAGCCCTCGCGATAGCCACCACGGACGCCGAGGTGATAATAGGCGACTCGCAGGCGGCGATACGCAACTACGCCAGCGGCCGGATCTCCCGCGAAGCGGCCCGCATTCTCCAAATTCACGAACGCAACATCTGCCGCAAAAACGACAATTTCCTCGTATGGACCCCCGCCCACACGGACCCTCCGCTTGCGGGCAACGCGACTGCCCACGCCGCGGCTCGAGGACTTACACGCCGAGCTGCGACGCCTGCCGACAGTCCCGATGTCTCGCACACTTCGACAGCGATGCGGGAATGGACGTGGGGGGAACGCATGACCACTTACAGAGACGTCACGCAACACTACAGACTGAACAGGTGCAAATATCCACCACCCCACGCCAAACTAAACAAGAAACAGCAGGTTGCCTGGAGACAACTACAGACACACACGTACCCGAATCCGGTGATCCTTCGCCTCTGCTACCCAGGCATTTATACGTCCTACGCGTGTAAGGCGTGCGGAGCCAGAGCGACGCTGCAGCACATGCTGTGGAAGTGTACCGGTAACGCGCAGCAGTCCCCTACGAACCCGGTAGACATGGCGGTCTCGAACCGCGAGGCGCGATGGGAGGCGGCTCTGCTCAGCCACGACCTTGCCCATCAACTGTGGGCCGTCCGGCATGCCAAGGATGCCGCCCGGGTCCAAGGACTCGAGGCCGTCACCTAGGCCGGGGTGCTTGTAGCCCCACCCCGCTCAATGACGCCGGACATGTTCAATAAAGTTTTTACTCACTCACTCACTCAGGTGCAGTCTGTATACAATTGGCTCTCAGTCCGCCGCTGTGGAGCAGCTGCTATTGTGCTCGGCTGCTGAACCCGAGGTCGCTGGTTCGAAGCCGCGGCCTTCGCATTTCCACGGAAGCAAAATGCTTGAGGGCCGTGCACTAGCTGCGTGACGTCAGTGTATACGTCAAAGGACGCCGGAAAGTAGAAATTTCCGCAGCCTTTCTCTACGGCGCCTCTCGTAAATCATAATCTCATTGCGGTTTCGGAACGTAAAGCCCCGGATATTAATAATCCATGACGGCGTCTCTCAAAAGCACATTGTGGTTTCGGGACGTAAAGCCCCGGATATTAATAATCCACGACGACGTCTCTCATAATATTGTTTTGGTTTCGGGACGTAAAGCCCCAAATAATATTAATCCACGACGGCTTCTCTTATAACCTCATTGTGGTTTTAGGACGTAAAGCCCCGAAATTTTATTAATCCACGGCGGCGTCTCTCAAAATCACATTGTGGTTTCCGGACGTAAATCCCGGGATATTATTAATCCGCTACGGCATCTCTCATAGTCATGTTGTGGTTTCGGGACGTAAAGCCCATTATATTGCTATTGCGTGGAGCTGTGACCACAGCGTGTGCCCTCGAGCGCAAGGAAATGCGACCGTCGAAAATGAACTGGCCATACGCGTATTTGTATGAGCCGTTTTTGCAATGGTTGTTGATGACCTGTCGGCAATCAGCCGTTCCTGCTTTGGCAATCTAATGTTTTATCGAGGTCACTTGTCATTTCACGTTGCCCTTTTAATTGTTGCTTGATGTGAACGCAGGACCGTCGTTCTTGTCTGTAGCAGGTGAAATGTTGCTCTGCCATGCATTTGAACAATGATCCAATTTCCGGCATGGCCGGAGGAAGGGAAAAAATTGGAGGAAGCATTTCGTAGTGCGATATTAGATAGTTTTAGTACTGCGGAATGGTGCTACGTACGCATCACGCAAGCGCCTTGCGTTACGTGGCGTCGTTTGCCACTAATCGGCTTTTAGTACGCCGTAGTACCCGCGTACGTAACGAGCATGAAGCGTGTTGCGCCATCTAGTAGATCAAAATAGAAGCACGTGTTGTTGACAGCCAATGTGAGCCAATTCAAGTGTTATAGCCAGATTATGGCCACATTTTAAGCCACAGAGCCGGTCGGTGCTTGCCTTCGATGCCACCATTTTGCTAAACGAAGTCTCGCGCTGTCGCGAACTTGTTCGAGAGCGGCGCGATCACCTCATACGTACGCACGCATGAGATGAGTGCGTACGTACGTAGCGGCAGCGTACGTAACGGGATACGTGGGCGTTGCGGTCTGCGCATGCGCACTACGCAGAACGTGGCGTCCTTACGTATGCAACGCCGCCACGTACGCAGCGTACGCAGTACTAAAACTCTCTATTAAGAAAGTACGTCCAGTTTGGCGTCAAGTGCATGGACTGCATTAGCAAGATGCAGACGCACCTGTAGAATCTGAGAGCCATCTCTGGCTGGTCTGCGTAGAAGTGGTGCGTCGCAACGCAGGCGATAGCCTCCACGTTCACTGCGTCCTGTGACAGCAGCTCCCGGTAAAGCTTGGCCGAGCGCTGCAGATCGTGGAGGGCCTGCAATGTCCACAGTACAGGGCGCCGTGTATGTAACACTTCGTACACCCGGCTGTATGTAGACTTTGCAAAAGCTTGCGCGCGTTCTGCATTTAAAAAAATAATAAATGAGGGAGCGAGTCATGATGCCAAAATCAGCCAATCATTGTGGACGTTGGGTTTATGGCGCTGTCATTTGGGCTTACGCGGCATCATTTGTCGAGAGAACAATTTCTAGCTGGCTTTGATAATTATGAAATTCAGGCTGCGCGCTGCGGTATAATGTTTGGCTGGCGTGTTTTCGGGAGCATCGCGGCTACCGATCGGCAGCGTTTTCTGACGATGCTGAAAACTTGTTGCAGAGCTTCCTTAATTTCTCAATTCGTATAACTCAGCCAAAGGTGTGTGTGTGTGATTTTCCTTTCTCTTACTTTATTTTAGTGACGTCACATCCGTGACGGAAATGACGTGTGTCAAATATTGGCGCACCCTGGCATGAAATACTTCCGTGTTAAAGGTGAAACCTGGCTTGCACAATCTGCATGCTTTATTTCCAGCGAAGCCCGAATTATGCCATGGTATTACAGCACTTGCAGAGACAAGCGCTTTCCTAAGCTGGCATCTATAACCAGTCAGGGTGGTCAATAGTTTTTATGGTGTTCGACTGCCAACCCAAAGTTTGCGGGATTGAGGTGGAGAAGAAAACGGCCGAGCCCCGTGAACTGAAATAATGGTGCACATTAACGAATCCAGGTGGTCAGGATTTCTGGAGCCCTCCACTATATACGTCGTCCCTAATAATCACATCGTGGTTTTCTGCTAAGTTGGTATCTGTGACGCTCTTGGATGCACAATCATACGCGTGTGCAGGCTGTATGCCGCATGCGCGTCTCACTTCGAATGTTTCCTACATTTTTTTTTCGTCACTGTGTGTACGCTTGCGAAATAATTGCAACACCTAATTTGCAGATTCCTTACCCTCTCCCTCTCTCGACTCCGAAGGCAAATTACCAAGAAGTCATGTTCACGCGCCAGTGCGCATCAGTATTACAAGTGGTATATCTAACTGCTGCGTCTCTAACACTTCATCGGGAAAATGCAAAGTATATATGAACACTTTATTACACGGATATGTTTGTAAGTTGAAGTTCTTTCTCAATTTCATCCGAAGAATCGCAACTGTTATTAAGATCTCGAAGATGTTTCGCTTGTGTATACTGTACCTCGTAAACACGTGCCATGGGTGCAAGCAGAGAGGCTTCGTTCGGAAACCTTTCCAAACCACGCCTGTATGCTTCCACAGCTGCGAGTGGCTGATCCATCTGCAGCTGAACCTGTAACGCACAAGTAAGCACTCCAATCCTTGAGGGGAAAAAATGAATTGACATGCACACTGTGAAGGTGGTGCCGGGAAGCTGCAGTATTGGCCGATGAGATAGATCAATGTGACGTTGTAAGCTTGACCGACTGAACAATACGGTATACCCGCAATGATTGACGACAGTCACATGCACTATGGTGGCTTACAACCTAATAAGTTCAAGCTTGGCTTGCAGAACGACGGTACGCTTGTCAGTTACCTATGCAAGAAAGCCTTGCGTGTAAGCTGGTTTCCTTTACAACCATGTAAGTACTTTTTTTTCTGAGCTAATGTAAGTACCACGTACATCGAAAACTATAAAGGTTAGTCGTTACTGCCTAAAATGTGACCTCTAGCCGAGTGATGTCGGAATATCCGACGAAATTTGACCGGACGTTCAAGTTCTCTACATAAAACCATGGGAACGAAGATGTGTATCTTCCTCCTAAGTTTTCTACCTCTATGGCAAGACTTGAAGAGGTGTTTTCCTCTGTTCGAAGGTTATTGATGTCCACTGTCTGAGAATATTTTTTTTATAAACCTTCCTGAAGCATGCGAAAAGTACGTGACGTCACATGAACCTTGGTGGCCCGCGCCCGATGATCTCCAGTGAGCTTCTAGAATAAAGAGACCACCCAAGTGCACTTGTAGTGCGACTCTTAGTGCTTTTCTCAATATATGTTTTTCCACCACCGCCACGTTGCATAGCCTGAACTAATGTAAAAATTGGCAGTGAATCGAATGCTGATGATGGAGCGAAGCTCCATCATGAGCATTATGAAATGTTTATGAAATGTATATGAAATGGACTACGACGGTGCCAGGTGGCCACCGGGGCGCGCCAGTGGACGCCGGTCGCGTCGGTAGCGTCCCGCGTTTTGCTTGCGTGGCATCGCTGTGCCCAGCGTGTCTAATCATGCAAAAAGAGAGACGCGCGCGTCGCGTTCCATTCTGTCCGACCCCCAATATACCAATGGGCACAGGCGTTCGTTGAACACACTTTGGAATTCATAAAGTGACGGACGGCTGCGCCGACATACAGATCAGACGGACAGACAAATACAAGGGCAGATTGTCTTGATGAAGATGATGATGATATTGTCTTTCTGATGATTCTCACCTAAACAAGGATTATGGACCAATAACCGGGTGGCAGGACGCCACCATGCTTTTCGTGGTACTTGTGTCTATACATATAGTGTTCATGTGATGTCACTTCCCCCGTTGTCGCCCTCTCCCGCCATACACGGGTACCCCGCTGGGTACCTACGGCAGTTCGCGTGCTGCAGCGCGGTTTGTTGGGGGCTCGTCATCTGCTACTGTGTACGATGTTGAAAAGGAAGCATTGTGGTTTTTTTTGTTGTACTTTAACGAGCTCGCTTGTTCGCTCGATACAAGACCGGAAAATCAAGATGTGCGACACGTATACCAGCCACCGCGTACACCGGCTGCTTGCCACGACGTATACGAGGGCCCGTTATCTCGCTTTCCCTACAAATTACCTGGCCCAAGAACAAGTGAAAGCCCAAAGTCTCTCGAGCCGCAATTCGAAGGAGTATAATGAGCGAAGCACAGCAACTCCCATCTAAAAGTAGCCGTGCAGAGCTAGGCAAGTTTACAGGAGATATAATATTAATATATTGCTGCGGCCCACGCCACCAATGTAGCAGCACCTCCCCTCCCCCCTCCCAGTGTTTTAAACAGTGCTAATGTTGAGCCTCTTTGATTAAAATTTGGGGAGACAGCCAAGGAAAATATTATGCGAGGCAGATAGAGGCTTCGCGTGGTGCGTGCCGCGGTAATGCCGGTCATCACTCATTTTTTTTTTTGCATGTTTTGACATCTTTTTCACCTTGTATTTTACTTTTGTTGTACGATGTACAGTGGAGTCCATGAAAATAGTGGAGACTGTGTTAGGGTATTAATTGACCATTTTTTAAATATCCTGACCCCCAACTCGTACCGATCGGCTATACTTCAAAGTAAACTAATATTGTTTCGCATCCATTTTCACAGTTTGTTTCAATGCAATAGCCGAATTTCCACGACCGCCATCACGATTTTAGCCGCCTCCCTGACACGCTGACTATGCACGCAGTGGTCACGGACAAGTTTGTATGTACAGTAATCAAGGTAGGCTATCTCTGTCTGCAGGTAAGTGCTTGGCCATGACACTTACCCGTAATGAAGTTACACCTGAAGACGCAAATATCACCGAGTTTCTTCTAGTTGTTGTTTTTTTTTAATCCGCGCGAGCCAAACTCGCCGGTACTTTTCGGAAAATAGCAATGTGGCGTTCTTAATTTTAAGTAATAACTTTCGGCGAAGAAACACCCTGAAGCTCTGCTCCTTCTTCGTGGACTAGCCGCTCATAATTCCTCAAACTTGAATTGTGAGGCAAAACTAGAGGGGCGCAAGCACGAGGAGACAACACGGCAGCGGTGGGCGACGGAGTCGGTAGGTACCCGGGCATGTCGGTGGCGCATTTCGGAAGTGACGAAGGGGCGCTGCGTTACGCACATGCACACTATGTATAATCTCTATCTAGCCGAATGTGAATGTTCTGTAAAGTGTTAACAGCTATAGTGAATAATCACGGAAGCCTAAAGCTCGTATCATATTGGCATCTTAGATAGATAGATAGATAGATAGATAGATAGATAGATAGATAGATAGATAGATAGATAGATAGATAGATAGATAGATAGATAGATAGATAGATAGATAGATAGATAGATAGATAGATAGATAGATAGATAGATAGATAGATAGATAGATAGATAGATAGATAGATAGATAGATAGATAGATAGATAGATAGATAGATAGATAGATAGATAGATAGATAGATAGATAGATAGCAATGATCGATTTTAAGTTCCCAGCTCCAGACCACCGTTCTGCTCTGTTTAGCGCTCGTGTATTATTTTGAAGATATTTATGTCGATGCTCAGTAGACTTTCTGAACCAAACACAAACGGACGTACGCCTATAGACACACAAGCACACGCACACGGGTACACGCACATACACACCTACACAAAGTTATCAGCTGATGCGAGCACTGGGTGATACTGTTATTCCATTTCCAAGCATGTTCGGTCGAGTTCTTACTTCGGGTTTCTCGAATATGTAGGAAAAGTCTAGTCAATGGAACACTTATGTTGCTATGTCACTCGAAAAGCTTGACTTAACTGCGTTCAACCGCGACATTTTTTTACGCAGAGACGACACAATTGAAGGCGGCAATTGACCCAGCGATTATATAGGAGGCTTTCGCCAAAGGCATACACATATCTCTGAGAGAAGCATGCGAGTACCATGCACGAAGGGCCGCACATGTGAACGTGTCCACACGTATACCTTGGCCAGCCAGAGGAACGTCCTTGGCTGCGGGTCTCCGGCTTCCGCCGCCTTCCTGAACTGGTGTTCGGCCTCGCGCAGCATGCCCAGTCTGAGGAGACAGCGACCGCGCTGTAGTGACCACCAGCCGCAGCAGTCGGTTGACCGCTCCTGGCTGGCCAGCTCCAGTGCCTGCGGGACATGTATGCGTGCTACATTGACCACGGAATAGTAGAAGGCTGAATAAGGCGAATGGGTCAAGTGGACGCCCGTAAGGTGGGTCAAGTTCCGTGTGAGAGAGAAGTTATTTTCATTCATATTTTCACGTGGTCGTGACGTGGTAGAAGGCAGTAGACGGCATGTTCAGGATGAAAATTTTTATTTGGCCGAACTCGGCATGGCCTCGGTGTGCTATCCACTGGCACTAAGCGAAATGCAAAAGAACACTCGTTTCAGATTTTGGTGCAAATTCGAGAGCTTCAATCAGCGGTCAAAGTCAGTCCTTAGTCCTCTTATTCTGCGTGGCTCATAATCATACCGTGGTTTAGATGAAACCCTATTATGTCTCGTTGCATAGCCTTTAGCTCATGGAGCGCGCGGGAAAGAGAGAGAGAATAAATTGGAAGAAAGGCAGGGTCAACCAGAATCGTAGCATCCGGTCTGCTACCCTGCATAAGGGGAGGAGGAATATAGGCGAACAAAGATTAGACGTAAATCGAAGAAAAAAGTAGACGCGAATGCGGAAAAACAAAAACCCACATGACCCACGTCGCTGATGACGTCATGCTGTACCGTCGCCACGTGCCGCAATCATGACGTCACAAATGTTCAATATCTGTGAAGACATCACTTGACATCATGTGACGACATCCTCGTGACACGGGATGAGTTGCATCTTCGTTTGCTCAAAGACGGGCTGATCCCGGATTCAATGTGGCACCTCGTTAGGTGGAGCCCACGAAGCACAAAAACGTCTCCAAACGGTTAGAGAGCTTGTGGTCTGCGAGAAGACCTAAAATAGACATTTTTTATATCAAATTTGCACCTAAAATGCGAATGCATGCTGCTTTCAACATTTGCAACTGCTGCAATAAACTAGAGTATCCTTCCCAACGAGTTCATGTAGTCTACTTCAAGACGTTTTTAGACATTCTGTTCTGAAATGCGAGCGCGCAGCAGTTTCAGAGAGAGAGAGAGAGAGAGAGGTGGAAGGGAGTAGTATGCAATCTACTGAAAAGGCCAAGGTAACCCAAGGACGAGGATGCATAGTTCTATGTATCCTCTTTGAGGTAACCTAACGCATGTCTCTCATGCTACAGCTCTTGACGTCTTGCAAGAAGTCTGGTCTCCCTATCGGGAGACTAGAAAAGATGGTGGATATAGTGGCTACTGGAAAAGATGTTGGATATAGTGGAAATAATGCTGGTTATGCTAAAAATCGTTGTGATCATAGTCTACAGTGGCGGGTGGCATGGTGTACGTTAGATGGCATGATGGAAAGGATGGTGGATGATGGTGGAGGGTAGCAAGAAGAGAGAGAATAAGGATGGAAGAAAGGCAGGGAGGTTAAGCATGGCTGAGCCCGGTAGGCTACCTTGCACTGGAAAGAGGGTAAAGGAATAAAAGTTAGAGAGAAAGAGAGAGAAGGAGAGAAATATCACTAATGCCGTCGACAAAATGGCAGTTACGTGCTTAACATCACAGGCGGTGAGTCACATCCGTGTCTTAATCAATTGAGCGTTGCATTAACTTATATGCGCGGTTCCAGGCACCCAAAATCTTGCCGATGGTGAAGCCATGATGGTGCCGCTTGCGTTCTCAAGCAGCGGACTTCTGAAGGCTTGCAAGAACTGGAGTGATGGTGTCAAGCAGTTGCAACACGCTTTGAACTGTCGGTGTCTGCATCTTGCTCAGCAGCACACGCACAGCAAGAAAATAATGAATATAGTGGTAGCATATACTGCGCCCCCTATCGCGCGAATGCTGGAAAGTACCGAGGGAATATTACGCGACTTTTCCGCTAGGGAAAAGGCGCGTGCGCTGTGGCATCTTGAAAAATGGGGCGGGTTGAAGCTTGTTGTAACTTGATGCGCATTCTCTTTCTGTCAATCGAAGCATAGATTAGTCGGTTTATATCCCAACCAGAGATGATACGTTTTGCTCTTCTGTCATTTCTTACCTGTCTGACATCACCCCGCTGGTGGTAGAGGAATCGGAAGAGTGGTTTGGAGAGCCACGGCTTGTCGGGCCAACCCGAGGCCGCCGCTCCCAGTCGACCAAACTCTGGCACGGCCGCTGGCGCCGCAGTCGTCGGCCTGGCCTGCACGCCCGCAAGGGTAATGTAATGTTTCGTCGTTGACTTTTGTTACGCGGCGCACAGGTGGCCGGAAATAAGTGTTATGAACCCCGGTGACTCGCACTGTACACCGCAACGCGCTGCAATCATCATGCCATGCGCTTAGACAAACTCGCCCACACCTGGCGGACTCCTCGCCTGCTCACCACTGTATTAACGCCTGTGATGATGATACAATTACAATCACACGGAAATGACGAGCGTGGACAGATATATCCAAGCAACGACCACGTATATATATATATATATATACTTCGTGAAAAAACCCAGTGCAGGTGCAGGCATGAGAGAGAACAAACACAACACATGGCCCTATGCGTATTTTGTAAAGTGCAGTAACTCGGCCCTGACATGGGAATTTCATCCGTTATCGAGGTCGCCCGTCAAATCGCGTTGCCACGTTTTATTCTCACATTCCATTGTTCCACGCGTGACTGTCATCGCGACCTGTAGCAACTGAAGTGTTGCGATGCTAAGCGCGGGGGTGGAGGTCCAATACAATTTTCAGAGAGTGTTGCCAACAGCCCGCCATGGCGGAAGAAAATATAATTAAGGCCTGACCGCACGTACGCGCTGCAGTGCGTCAGCCCGTGGCTTTCTGACGCGGCACCGTGCCTTCTTCCTTAAGGAGAGAGTGGGCACGCAGCTTCGCGTAGCCACGCGCCCACTCTCTCCATATGAAGATGACGTTGCGCCTCGTCAAAAAGCGATGCGCTGACGCGCTGCAGCGCGTCCGTATGGCCAGGATTTTAAGCGCGAGACAGACGTGCGATTTTCTCTGCGATTCGGCGTGCGGTGCGACGATGAGACTGCCCGAGTGGTGACGTTTCGTGACGTAGCATCGTGTCGCACCGCCGCATAGCCGGTGCGGCGAGCATCAAACCGCCGCATGGCAGCAGCCAATCATCACAGCGCGAGCATGCGAGTGGCGTCACGATGCTAGTGGCGCCATCTCCCTGTCGCCGCTCCCATCACCCCTGGTTCAAGGCTCCAGGCGAGTCGATGGAGCGGTGCGAGCGTGGACTTGCTGACATCGCTGACTGCGGCGGCGTGACAAACATCGAGTACATATCTCTGGTGACGTGATATTATTACGGATTCAATAAAGTGATGCCCGAAGTGTGCGTTTTCTGCAAGACAACGCCCGTTTTATAACCGCTAGTGAGATCGGAGATTGTGAGCAGCGATGCAAGGTCATTTCGCAGGTAAACACAGCTACCGGCGTCTCTGCGCTGGCTTGCTTCGCTTCCACCTTTGCTCATCACATCGATGGCATCGATAAAGTAATAATGTATGCTAACGCATTACATACGAGCGCAATGCTTGATAGAGTTGTCAAAAACAAGCGCTCGATGACGAGCTCGCGTGTGAACGGCGTAGGCGACGGCCGGCGCCCGCGATGCTAGGCCTACCTGTCGGAGTCGTGAATAATCAGCTGTTGCTGCGGTTACGACGTGCTTGTCGTTCACGAATGCGATTTATTAATTATTTTTATAGAACGAAGCGTGCCTGTGCAATGTTGTTTGTTTTGAGCCTCATTACGAGGATACCAAGTTTTGAGCCTCATAACGAGGGCCCTACATGCTGAGGCGCCGCATGGGGGCGGAGTCTGCCGCTGATAAACAAGGAAGATTTGCAGAGATTGATGGACATCTGCGGTAATGAGGGAGATAGGTTAGATTTTAGATTCAGTAGGGAAAAATCAGCAGTCATGATTTTCAATGACAACGAAGGTAGTGAGCTTAGAATACAGGAGGTCACGCTAGAGATGGCAGATAAATACAAATATCTGGGCGTATGGATAAGCAATGGGACCGAGTATCTGAGGGAACACGAAATATACGTGACGACTAAAGGTAACAGGAATGCAGCAGTCATGAAAAATAGGGCACTGTGGAATTACAATAGGTATGATGTTGTGAGAGGAATATGGAAAGGGGTCATGGTTCCTGGGCTGACGTTCAGCAATGCGGTCTTGTGCATGAGATCAGAAGTTCAAGCAAGATTAGAAATTAAGCAACGTGGAATAGGTAGGCTTGCTTTAGGAGCTCACGGGAATACACCAAATCAGGGAGTACAAGGTGATATGGGATGGACATCATTTGAGGGCAGGGAGGCTAGCAGCAAGATAAAATTTGAGAAGCGATTGAGAGAAATGGGGGAAGAGCGTTGGGCTAGGAAGGTTTTCAGCTACTTGTACATGAAGAATGTCGATACAAAATGGAGGAAGCGAACCAGAAAGTTGACTGGTAAATACTTAGAAAACAACAGGTGGCTAAACCAAAAAGAACTATCGGTTAAGAAAAAAGTGAAGGAAACGGAGACTGACATGTGGAGAATGGGCATGATTAAGAAGTCCGCACTAGAGATCTATCGAACTTTTAAGCAGGAAATTGCCAAGGAAAGGATCTATGATAATACTCGGGGTAGTTCTCTACTGTTTGAGGCCAGGACGGGAGTACTGCGAACCAAGACATATCGGGCCAAATACGAAGGGGTCGACACAATATGCAGTGCGTGTGGAGAGGAAGAAGAAACTGCCGAACACTTGATAATGTTCTGTAAAGGGCTTCACCCTATAGTTCAGGATGATGGCGCAGAGTTTTTCAAAGCACTGGGATTTAGGGACAGCGAGGGCAAAATAGACTTTAAGCGGGTAGACTTAACTAGAAGGAGGTTATCTGATTGGTGGCTAAAAGTCAAGGCACGAGTGAAAATTAAACCCTTCACTGCGAAGTACGAATCCTCAACTTCATTATTTAAAGAAAAAAAAAAGATAAATGTAATGGTTAGTTCACTAAGTATTACGGCTAGGTGGCGTTAGCCGCCGCCCGATCTAAAGGGTACAGCCACATCCATCCATCCATCCATCCAGCTCCTTCGCCCTCGGGTGTCCAGAAACGTCGCATGCGGCACGCCGCACCATGCGACGCCGCACGCCGCATCGCACGGAAAATCGCACGGAAAATCGCACGTCTGTCTCGCGCTTTAGGTGGGGAGCATTGAGTGATGCGATAGAAAGAAAGTGGTATGCGTCAGGTACACGCCAAGCTTCGCAATCATTTCTGTCGGGAAAAACAAAAGAAAAAAAGAAATAAGGACACGGACACAAGAGAGGACACGAAAACAGGACGGGCGCTAGTCCTGTGTCGTTTTCTTCCTTGTGTCGGTGTCGTAATTTTTCACTCTAGAGAAATTATTGCCAGTTCTAAACACCAACTAAAGCCCTCGTTACCGCTTTGTCTCCTGCAGGCATCGCTCTATGCATTTTCATGATTGGAGAAGTGCTTCTATGGGCTTATTTTTTATTATTTTGAGTAAAGTACTCTGTGGAGTTAGCTTGATATAATCAAGTCAAGTTATTGAATGGTTGGATTGAATTACATGATTAGCATATTACAGCAGGCGGTCCCCGAGTTTCAAACTGACAGGACTCCCTCCTACGGTTACATAAAATGCGTAATTACGAAAATGTACAACAAAAGTACACCAACGTGTGAGCAAAGATGAACGAGCTCCATTAGCAATAACAATAAGACTAATACATCACATGATGGTAATACTCACTATTAAAAAAAAAAGACATAGAAATAGCTACAAGCGAGGTTCACGAACAGCTCTACATGACAGATGCAACTCGTTTCGTTATCAGTGGTATCATTCATACCACTGATACCACTGTCTCACATATGAAAGATGGGTGGATTGATTGAATGGGTGGATCGATTGGTGAATGGATGGATCGATGGATGAATGGATAGGTGGAGGAACATATGTATACGGGCTGGTGGTCTAGGCATGTGAATTCGGCAGACGTGTACAAGGAGACGAATCACCACGTATCAAACTGCAAGTGCGCATGCGCACGCACCGTTCTTCCTCCAGCCGTGTACAGCGCCCTCTCGACTCCCTGCTGCGTGGCTGTGCGAGACCGGGGCCGTCGTCTCAGTCCGGTCAGTGGACGGCCCTCGCGCGTCATCGGCCGGCCGCCGCTAGTCGGCGGAGGTGGCGCCCTCAGGGACGTGCCCGGACGGCCCGTCTGCGCAGTCGCCTGTGAGGTGTGCGTCAGTCAAGATTTCAAACACGTGGGCCGCATTCGGCCTGCAGCAGATGCCTTCCGCATGGCCTGGCCCTCACATGACTGTCTTTGTCCCATGTTATTATTATTATTATTATTATTATTATTATTATTATTATTATTATTATTATTATTATTATTATTATTATTATTATTATTATTATTATTATTATTATTATTATTATTATTATTATTATTATTATTATTATTGGGACACTGACGTGAAAGCAATGAATCGGTTTGAATTGATCAATTGTACTCTTAGAAGAGAAGTGATTCTTAAAAGAGAAAAGGGAAGAGAAAAGTGAGCCCCGTTACTGTCTGCTTCAGTGAGCGACACCTCCACAGTAGCTCACAAGGGATGGGGGTGAGGAGGGATAAAAAGGGGTAGGAGTAAATGTGTAGAAAAGAGGAAGAGACGTGAGGTGGTAAGCCAGAGCGAGCGACAACAAACTGAGGGGATAGAAGAGATAGGAAAGATGGAAGCACGGTTACTGGAGTCCGAGGACGGGGCACACCTGCGAGAGCTCCTTTCGTCGTCGGTAGATGGCGTAGAGCAAGTCCAGTCGGTCAGAGCTACACTATCGTCGTCGTCGAAGGTCGTAGAACGCTAACGCTGTTATTTGCAACATCATAGGTTAACAATGAAGGGGAAAATCAAAATCAAAGTTTCGTTCTTAAATTTCGTGTCAAAATCTCTGCGCATGACGTCACAAATTTCAAAGTGCATGTTTCGTGCTTTGTCGACGTTGGCTCCCTGAAATTTCCTGAAACTTGGTATATTAAGCCAAGCCCCATCAGAAGATGATGATCGGGAGCTACACCTAGCGGGCGCCTTCAAAATCAATGACGTCACGGTGTTCGTTGCCGCACTTTCAACGTGACGTATAGGCAGCCGCATTTTTTTTTTTTTTTTGCGCGCGTTTTCTCGTTTACCAAGCGTCTTCTCGAGGGAGACGTGGTGATTTCGAAATTGTGAAAGGGTAGTCTACTAATACGAAAAAGAAATAGTTTTTTAAGGTCGAAGTCCGTCCGTCGGCGTCGTGCGCCGTAGCCGCCGCTGGTGATGACGATGAAGAACAAGCGCGTTCCAGACCACACATTCTATTTCTGCTATCACGGCACAGCACATGCAAGGTACCTACTAATGTGCCATGACGATGAAGATGATGACGATTAAGATCAGGGACAACGACTTTCTTGAAAGACCGATTGGTATGCTCGGATTGCAAGTCAATACATCCACCCTATTATCGTTTGGAGCCAGTCAGTTGGGTGTGGGCTGCAGTGCTATTCTGTCGGCGCTACATAAATTCATTCAGGCAACCGGAAGGATACGCTGCTAGTAGTACTGCCAGATATATCCAATTCTTTCTCCGCCTTCCTCATTCTTGTTAATTTGTTTTATATAATCTGGTTTATCGCATTCTTCTGCAATGTTTCACGTTTTTTTTTCAAAGGAACATTATTATTGTTCATATCTAATTTCTCTTTATTTTTTTTAGCAAGCGTTGTAAAAAATGATCTATTAAGAGGTACAGTGTGGCCAATCCCCCATGTGGGTATGAGCCAAGATCTCCTAGGAGACAAGGCAAGACAAGACTGGCTTGGGCAGTAGAGGACGTCTCGATATGCTCTGCGATGCATTTTGTATGACTACAATCGGGGACAACTTCTGCGGCAATGAAGGGAAAGCCATGGAACCAAAATGGGCGTGTGCCACCGCTGAAGAACATAGCCCCGCAAAAGCGTCTGTGTTTTCAGCGCTAAAAATCATTGGAAAAAAAAACATTTCTTTATTTTCTACGGAATGATGTTTACAAAGAAACGCGGCATGAACCAAGGATATAATATCATTTGTTTCGCTTTATGAAGTGTCAGTTCGCGTTTTTGCACGTTTGAAAACGTCGCACGTTTTAGGTGCATATCTCACAGACAAAATGGCGTATTCGCCTTTAGTATACAGTTAGAGGGGCTAGAATGGGGCTAACATTGTTTCAATGTTGGTGGTAGTTAACTGGGACAGCCGGCACGTGCACGACAAAACTGTCTGAAATAACTGGTTTATTTATTCGGCAAGGTTCATTTTATTCGGCCTACTCATACCACACAAGCATCACTAAACTAAAGATCCAAGCTAATCTCCCTCTACTCGTAACAATGGCGTAAAGTTAAGCGGCTGTGCTTGTTTCCTGAGTTTTATCATTCACGCATTGCTGCGACAGTCATTGAAGAAGTTCGTCGTCACTCTGACCGCATCAACCACCCATTGGCTGTTTACCCAGGAAAGACCCTCACCTCTGCCCATTAGCATTCTTGTTTAAGTGTGAATACGCTTTATAAGCGACCCCAAACCATCCACCGCCGTCGGCGGCGTCCGCAGTCTTCTCTCTATCTTTAAAAGAAAGAGGACTTGGCGGGCCGCAGCGCGACGCTCTACCGAATAAGCCACGGACGCGACGCTGATATCGGTGTCAGTAACGCGCCTTATACCCCTCTCCCTTCGCTCGCTCCTCCGCTCTCCTCGCTCGCTGCAGCTGCGCGCGCACCCCTCTCTCTCGCGCGCCCGCCTTCTCTCTCAGTCTCCCGTCGAGAGCGGGTCGTGAGGGGGAGTAAAGTTAAAATCCGTTGGCATTCGCCAGTGAGTTAACGTAAACTCCCCCGTGTGATCAAGTTGCGATTCCCAGGAACCATTACACCATAAAGGCACCATAGTGTGATTATTAAATATAATAGTGCGAATTAATAAATACCCCTCATAGCATCACCCCGTGTATTCGCACTTAACCATGTTCACCTTCGGGGAAATGCTTGGGAGTTTTTATTTTATCGAAACAGCAAAAGACTGGAATGATCTGCCAACCGACGCCGTTGTCATCTCCAGCCTCATCCATTTTCACGAAGCAATCGAACACATTATGTACTAAAGCTCTTTACTGACCTCCAATGACATTGTTCACCTTAAATGCCCACCCCTCATGTAAAACCCCTGAATAGTTGCCTTTGAGTTATAAAAACAAATAAAAATAAATAAATAAGCTAATCGCGGTCCGTGTTGCGGGGTGCCCAGTAGCACGTTGCAGCCATAACCATGCATACAAACGGAACTGCAGCCTCTCTTGCAGCACTTTCTGCAAAGAATATAGTCCGAGTGTCGGTATACCTGATTGTCGAGCAACTCCTCGGCGAGCGACTGCAGCCCTTCGAGCTCGAGTTCGTCGAGCCACGCGTGCTGCGTCAGGGCGAGCATGCCGAGCCACTGGAGTTGCTTGCTCGAGGGCTCCTGCTGGCACAGCTCGGCGCACTCGGTGAAGTGGCGCCGGCGGTAGAGGCTCAGCGCCCGCTGCACCAGCTCCATGCCTGCCGCTGAGTCGCCTGGTCTGCGCATGTATACATATGCGCTCATGCGATGTGCATCTTAACGTGTCATGCTAAAAAAGCTATGTGCATCTTAAGGTCAGATAATCATGTGCGCCTCAAGGACAAAATATGATAAAGAACAAAAAAACATGCACTACAAAGTTAAAGAAAAGGTTCGCACATTATATGATATAAAAATGCAAAAGTGTGCTTTAAGAGGCTGTAAAAGATATGTTGTATGGTGCCACATTTATTTATTATTTGATTGATTCATTGATATGTGGGGTTTAATGTCTCGAAACCACTAATGATTATACGAGAGACGCCGTAGTGGAGGGCTCCTGGAATTTCGACCACCAGGGGTTCTTTAACGTCCACCCAAATCTGAGCACGCGGGCCTACAACATTTCCGCCTCCATCGGAAATGCAGCCGCCGCAGCCGGGATATGAACCCGCGACCTGCGGGTCAGCAGCCGAGTACCTTAGCCATAGCCACTAGACCACTGCGGCGGGGCTAAAAGAAAAGGTTCGCACAGTACACTATATAAAAAATGTAAAGGTGTGATCACCCTTCATCCCTCTTTCCTTCCCTTTTCCCTTATCCCATGTGTAGAGTAGAAGGCTAGAGCGAACTAGCTCAGGCCGACCTCTCTGCCTTCTAATAAATTCTCACTCTCTCTAAAGGTGCGCTTTAAGAGGCTGTAAAAGAGATGTTGTGTGGTCCCACATTGGTTTATTAGAGACCTTCATTAACTCTTGTAACATTAACTGAGTTTCATTGATATTAGGATAGATGGCAGTGAATCCATATCGAACATGTCGTCTGTCTACCGCAGCTAGTTCGGACTTTCGGCGCGACGAAGCTTTTGTGTAAAGCGAATCTATAGCGAGTCAAATGAGGAAGCTGCCTCACGAGGGAACGCCGCTACGATATCGAGTGCTCGATTACGCGACCGCCGCTGTCGTAGCAGCGGCAGATTATGACGTCCGCGTTGAATGAACCGTCGAAGACGACAGCGAGAGATACGAACATCGGCGCATGTGTGACCTTGAGAGTCGCGACAGTTTCCGCCTGAAGAGTGCGACATTTTCCGCCTGAAGAGCGCAGACCCATTCACTCACTCGTGTGTCTGCAGGGCTGCGCCGTTCATCCTGCGGCACGGCGGGCCGGGCAGGGCCGTGTGCCGGTTGGTGTGTGTGTGTACGGACGCGTCGCCCTGGCAACGATCGGTTGTGTCATAGCCTCCTAGATTTTCCTTGCCCGCCGGATTATCGGCGGTCACTTTGGAAAGCGGCCGTCGCCGGAACTATGGTGGTGGCGCCACCTAAGTAGGGGGTGTCTTCAAATATGTTTTTACGTTTTTGGAACTCATATGCAACAAAAATAACGTTAAAAAGTTTTAGAAAGGCGTAAACGTAATTATAATTAAGCATACGTAAGTGACGCCGTTATAGATGACAGGCGTTTTGCGCTCATTCAGCAGGCAACTCCTTGAAACAAGGCATATGCTCTAAAATTAGTAGCGAACGCCAAAATTGCCGATCTCAAAGGCCAAGTACCAAGACCCTTACCCTTGCGTAGGTAGCCCCGCCATAGATGACGCGCGTTTCACGCTCATCCGGCAGGCAAGAGAAGTCTATGAGGCTATGGTCGTGTTCGCCTATTGCTAAAATTCCCGGCAGGGAGCGCCTGTGATCTATGCGAGTTAATTGATTGATTCTGCGTGGTTGAACGTCCCCCAAAAAACCACCATGTGATTATAAGACACGCCGTATAGTGGAGGGCTCCGGAAATTTCGACCCCACCTGCAGGGGGTTCTTTAACGTGCACCCAAATCTGAGCACGCGGGCCTACGGTATTTTCGCCTCCGTCGGAAATGCAGCTGCCGCAGCCGGGATTCGATCCCGCGACCTTCGAATTAGCAGCCGAGTGCCATAACCACGGCGGCGGTACGATTTACGGAATAAATTAACGCGCGAGGGTCAGACGAGACCAAGAAGCCTGCGGATGATAACGTTGCAGCAGCAAGCACCGGATTGCATTGACTTTCAATTAGCTCGGTACCCTTGCTGCCTGTATCATGTTTCTTGTTTGTACGGTTTTTCAACAGTATTCTTTCTGGTGGGTTTTGCTGGGCATTTGTCGTAATATCTTGCGTTTGTCCACAAAAATAGACTTGAGTTCTTTCTTCTGTATCGTTTTGTTGGTAATAGTAACACTTCATTCAAAAGTTCTCATGCCCTAGCGTGAACAGTAACATGAAATTCTGCGCTTACATTTCACATACATTACACTGAAAGGAAAAGACAAACACTTCGCTCGCAAAGCTAGCGGCTTTTAAGTGAAAACTTGGTCATGCATCATCAAATATAGTTCACAGAGGCAGTCTTTCGAACAAAAACATAACAGCCTAATTGAAATACCTGCCCTCCGCGACCTTGCCCTCTAAACTGAACCGGTGAAAAAAAAAGTATTTTCTTATTCAGCCTTTCAGCGCAGATGGTTGAATATCTGCGAGGTCTTTCGTATGGCTCCAATCTCGCATATCGTTCGCGTGCAAGTGAGCAGGAGTTTCGTACGACTGTGTTTCGATGCCCACGTAAGCACAAAGTGAAGTTTCCACTAAGCGCTATCTCTCCAAGGAGGTTATAAATAACCTCCTTGTATCTCTCCTTCGGCGTAATCAACGCACACATGGACAATGAATTAATCAATCGATCTATAGATGAGTGTACTGACGAACAAGTTCTGTCCCTCAAACCCATGTCGTCCCGTATAAGCTGGTACCTAAACATGCACCGTAAATATCTTGAATTTTGTTTAATCAATCATTGAGAGAGAGCGAATTCATGCCCGCTAGCGACTCTAGCGCTTCAGTGTCCGTAGTGGTGGTGATTGGAACTTGAAAAGCACCGCCTCTGAGATTGCCTTTTCATTGTTCGCAGTCCCTTGCCGCTTGCAAAAGAGTTTCGCCTCTCACAAACTCCTTGCTTTTACCAGAGGTTCGTGATCGAGTGATCGCAGTCGCTGATAAGAACCTGTGGCCTGTAGAAAGAAACTGGGGCGCGGGGCGTCCATCGATATTCAGGGTTCGCTTAATTGAGGCCGGAAAACGAAAAAAAAAATGGGGGGGGGCGACATAGCGATATTTTTTTTTTAATCAAAAGCCAAATCCTCGCATAATTGCCGTTTGGGCTCTGACCGACGCTTCTCGTTTCGTTCGCGGTGTGGCTCTCTGCACGGTGTGCATTCATTCAACAAGAAAGCGAAATCGGGCGCCTCTACTGACTTCAGCGTCCCAGCACACAGCGTTATAGACTGGCCATTATAACAGCATGGTTGCAAACGAAAACTAAGGAGCACAGCCTCCAAGATCGCAGTGACACCGCTTGCTGTTGCGTGCTTCGGACGGCAAGAAAGAGGTCGAAACCAACGTTTTGTCGCAGAGTCATAGTCCTGCGATTGCTGTGGAGAATAAGAACAAGTGGCCTGCGATATAAAAGAAAGTTAGGCGAGGCATCCCTTGGTCTTCATTTAACCTTATTGGCTCTGACCAAGCACTGATCAAGCACGAAATTGACGTTTCGCTACAGCGTAGTTTCGCGTCGTGTTCCCCGTGCGATTGCCTTCACAATCATGCACCGCTAGCGACTTTAACGCCCCTGCTCACGACGTGGCGGCAAGCGGAACCACAAGAGCACAGCTTCCGAGATCGCACCCGCACCACGTGCTTCGGAGTCCCTTGCCGTTTGCGAAAGTGCGGAAGTGTAGCAAAATGCTCGTTGGTTGAGCTGTTCTCTGGTCGTTCTCTTTCCTGCTGCTTTGCAAGTTTCGTGATCCTGCGAGCGATTCGCAGGATCACGAACTTGTGACCTGCAAATGTGGCACGGGCGTTTATCGATCGTCGGGGTTCGTTTAATTGTGAGCTGGAAAAGACGTGGAAACAGAGATAGCGCTGCTTATGTTGCGAGAAAAGAAGCAACGCGCTTTCGCCGCATGGGCACTGACCGACGTCGTCTCTCGCCGTGTTCGCGCCGCAGCAGGTGTGCGCTGCGGGGTCGGGACACGTTTTCTATTCGGTGCGCGCGCTTGTATGCGCTCGCACCAAGCGCTCGGTGGCGTGAATCGAAACACCTGCGCCCGGCGGCGGCTGCGCCACGCAACTGACTCATCACGGGCTCCGTGTGCCGCTCGAGACAGCGGTGCGCGAGCTCAGGGCAGGCTCTTTGGCAAAAACAAAAAAACGTCGTTGCGAGTGCTTGCGCCGAGGCTGTCATTAACAAGTCGCTTTTCCACATCGCGATGTCGCTTTTTTTTTTTATGGCTGGGCAGAACGTTTTCGTTTTGTAGTCATCGATATTGCCGGTAGGGGCCGCTAAAAGCTGCACTTAGGGGTGTGGCAGCTTGGGCTAGTTGGTATGGCATGACGATAGTTATAGCGCGAGAACAAAACGACGACACAGAGCGCTCGTGTCTTTCGTGTCCTTCTTGTCTGTGTGTCGTCGTTTTGTTCTCGCGCTATAACTTGTCATGCACTTAGGGGCCGCTAAAAGCTGCACTTTGTTTTAGTTTTTTTATTGTGTTTTAATAGTGAGATAGGGTTGCCGTAGAGCTTGTAGTTTGAAAAAAGCGAGGTACGGGTAAGTAAAAGAATGCATGCGCACTTGCTGTGGAAGAAGTTCTAGTAGTGGCAGTGGTAGTACATAGAGAGTGTAGGAACTTGATAATATTTGGGGTTTTACGTCCCAAAAGCTGCGATAACTTTATTAGATACGCCATGGTAGAGTGCTTCGAAAATTTCGACGATTTAATGGGCACTGGCATCGCACATTATACCATCGGCGTCCAATGAAAGCAGCACAATCGGCAAGGTTTAGAAATGGTATTGTGCCACTGCTAATTTACCATTGCACTGTACCATCGCTAATGTTTGCCGCTGTCCTGCCTTTATTTGACACCTATAGTACATGGGCCTCCGGCACTTCGCCTTCATCGAAATGTGACCGAGGCAGTCGGGATCGACCCCACAACCTTAGGATCGGCAGGCGAGCTCGATGCTTACCCCGACGACCAGGATAGAAACATGTTTTGCTTGAATGTGGTAGGGGTGTTGCTCGAATGTGGTAGGGGGAGTGCATGAACACCTGGGTGAAATTACGACCGGTTATATTAGTCATCTTTCACCCTGTTACCATCTTAGTGCCTTTAATAACAAACGTACGCAGAATAGTATACAGAAATTTAAAAGACCCTTCGATAAGTAAAATGATTGTTTGTAAATGCGACCTTTAGTGTTTGATACGATTTCCATTATCCCTGTTAAAATTCGCGCGCATTCTTGCTTGCACGAGTCTGTCGTTTTGTTGTATCGCATCCTCTGTGGCATATAACAGAACGAGTTCCTCGTTGTTCTCTCGCTTTCTGTCCCCTGTGTTAAACAAGCAGATTGCAAAGGTCTTACACTTCCAGATTTAGTGGCAGTGGTACTATGCCGGTGACGGCTTGACAGAGCCTTCCACTGCTCCGCAGCCCATCCTCTGTGACCTCCGTTTTCACGAATAGGCATTTACCCTCGAACTGGTTCTAAGGTACGGCTCTTCAAATTTTCCAGCGAAAGCTGTTACGAGATCAGAACCTTGGTCACGCGGGGCGCCGTACTTGTTCGCCGCTGCTGCCGCCGCCGCCGGTGTCCGTAGCCAGTAGCGAAAAAAAAAATTGTAAATAAAACAACACCAAAGACAGAGTGGGGTTCCAAGCTGGGTCTGTTGCGTGCCAGCCCAGTATTCTACCTTTGAATCATGACGGTGCTTGGGACGTATTCGCAAAGTTGCCTTAGGCAGGCTTGATGTCGGGAAAGGAATCGCGTTAATATGACTAATAAAGCTATTTTACAACTGCAAAGGAACAACCAGGCGTCACACATTGCGAATAGCATAACGAGTGGTTCGTATAATGCTCCAATCCACAACAAAAGCTTGTTCTTCATCACCTATTAACTGTGACGCATAGCCACTTTCGGCATAATTAATCATCGTCGGCGGCCACTGCATGAACAATTGGCACAAAATTTCCTGCAAGTGTTTAGCGGATACCACGCTTCTCAGAAGAAAGATGAAAGATAGCATAGCGAGTGCTGGCCTACTACTCAAAAGTTTATTAATAATGCCTTA